TATGCAGTCTATTTAATCTCTCAAACACTTGTCTGAGTACCTTGTCATTCCGATATGCTTTCCATTTGTTGTTGCAATATTCTTTTAACAGTTTGGCAGATTATTAAACTTGTGGTTAAGAATTTTAAGTTTCCAGAAATAAGCACTGGAGACAGCACTTCCACCATTTTCATGAGGTAGAAGAATGTTCTGTCCTAATGTCCATAAATATGTTTCTCTAATGATGCAATTCATTTTTTTCTTACTGCTTTTTGCCTTTTATTACTTTCAGGTGTCTGGGGAACAGAGCCCTATTAACCTTTAAACACCTTTAATAAAACAGCACTATGGGATGAAGGCAAGACAGGCCACATGGTAAAAACACAGTGTTGCTTCCTAGTAGTTGTCTTTTAATAAACAAATGTAACCAATATTTCATTCACTGTTCCAGTTATCAGCACATTTGTTTTTATTGTGGCACTGCACTGTGCACTTAAAATTTTGTTAAGAGGTTCAGTCTCATGCTATATGTTCTTCCCTATTTGTATTTAATAATCAATTTCCTTGCTTTTATTTCCCCAGGATCTATCTTAATCTTTCTAGGGTATTATTAGCTCATGTGTTTGTTTAGGCATTGAAAAGATGTTCACCACATGTAGAGAATGTGCTTTATACATGAGAACATATCAGGAAATTTGTGATTACTATATGATCATAACAACTCCCATTCCCCCCCAACAGCTTGTCATTTCTTTTACTATAACTCCATTCCCTTTTTAGGTGGTATGGGCTAAAATTAAAACAGAAATAAATAAAATGCTTGGAAACGGTAAAAAAAAAAATCATAAAAGTGTAGCAACATAAAAGTGTAGCAACAGTGCTTCTATACCTCATTCACAGAGGACAAAACTTTTTTTGGTTCACTGACTGAAACAATGACTTAAAAATCCATCTAGAGTTTCTCCCATAACCGAAAAATTTAGTTTATCCACATTCCCTTCTCTATATTAAAAAATTTTAAAAAACCCAAATTTAACAAATTAGATTGCCTATCATTCTTTATGAATCAAACTTGTCTATCAATGCCAGTTTTATTAGATCCCAGGTCCTATATTCTAAGTTATGTATCAACCTCACATGCTGTTTCTACCTAATTGCTGGCAGGAAATCTGAACTACAGGAATGAAGTGGGTAATGGCTTGAAATCGTGATTAAATTTATTGGAAATACAGACTAAATAAGGCACATTAATTAGTATCAGACAGAAGGATGAACTGATCTCCAACAAAGCACAAACTGTTGAAGCAATAAAATTTAGAAAACGTGTCTAAGGCATAATTCACTACCGTGATGAGGAAAAGAATCTCTTTCCTGTTGTGCAAAATAAGCTCAGGAAAAAGCTGTAGTTGGTGAGCATTCATGGGATACATTTTTAAGGTAATCTGCCCTTAGGATACAATGATAAATACAAATCTTTTAATTCATTTTAAAAGTTAATGAGAAAATACTGAAAGGCCATTTAAGTAAAATTTTCTTGTGGAAAGAGTAATAAAAAAGAGTACTGGGGGCTTACTATAATATTTTCTCTTGATTTCCAAGTATTTTATCTAAATTTTTCACTTACATGTTCTCTACTATCGGAATCTCTTTATGAGTACATTATATAAAAAATTTAATAAGCAACAACCTGTGAAAACTTATAAATTTGCGAAAAAAGTATAAAAATAAGGTAACTATTCAGATAAAAGTCAATTCATTTCATTCAAGTAATTTCACTGACTAAATATTTAAGAATCAATTAAATAGATTTTGTAGAAATTATGCTAAATGAAAAAAGCCACATACAAAGACTATATATTGCCACATTCAAAGACTATATATATGATTCCATTTATATAAAATATCCAGGAAAAGTAAAATTATAGAGTTTGAAAACTGGTGAGTAGTTTCCTGGAACTTGGAGTAGGAGCAGGAATAGACTGCAAATGTGCATGATGGAACTTTTTGAAGTGATATGTATGCTTTAAAGCTGAATTGTGATGACAGCTGCACAAATGTATAAATTTACTAAAAATCATCTAACTTGCAAGGAGTGAATTTCATATGAATTTCACCTAACAAAACTGTTAAAAAGGATTCTGTAGAATAAAATATGGCATTGAGATTCTCAGGGCAGTTGCGTTCCTTCAACATCTCATAGACTAATGGGTAGATTAAGTAAACTAATATAAGTGTCATAAAAGAGCTTCTCAACAAGTGAGCAGTGGTATACACTAGTGTGCTTCCAATGGGTTTCAGAAGTGACAAGACCTCAATTCCCTCAGCCACTGGGGTAGTATGGTGGGGCCTGTGTCTTGTAATTCCTGCAGCTGAGAAGCTTCTTCTATTGACTGTATTTACTATGCAAATAACATGTTTCACTGATCAAAAGCACCTTGATGAAAGAAATTACTGTTAATATATCAATACTCTCCAAAGTGACCTACAGATTTAACAAAATCTCTGTCAGAATCTCAGCCAGGGAACTTTGCAGAATCTTTGCAGAAATTGATAAACTGATCCTAAAATGCATATAGAAATTCAGACTAATCAAAATGATATTGAAAAACAACATAAGAACATTTGGAAAACTCGTGCTCCTGATTTTAAAACTTACTATGTAGCAACAGTAATCAAGACAGTGTGGTCCTGGCATAAGAACAGACATACAGATCAATAGAATAGAGCTGAGAGTTCAGAAATGAATTCATGTATCTATGGTCAACTGGTTTTCAAAAAGAGTGCAGAAAATATTTAGAAGGGAAGGAATAGTTTCTTCAACAAATGGTGCTGAGACAACTGGATAGTCACAAACGAAAGAAAAAATTTGGACCCTTACCAAACATAATGTACAAAAATCAACTTAAAATGGATCATCAACCTAAATATGAGAGTTAAAATTATGAAAGTCTTAGGAGAAAACACAGGGTAAATCTTTGTGACCTTGGATTTGACAATGGATTTTTAGTTATGACACAAAAAGCACAAGCAACAAGGAAGAAATAAATTGGACTTCATTAAAATTTGTGCTTCAAAAGTGAAAAAACCTACAGAATGGGAGAAAATATTTGCCAATCATATATATGATAAGGGTCTAGTATCTAAAATATAAGTAACTCATAACTTAAAAACCACAAGACAAACATCTCAAATAAAAATAGGCAAAGGACTTGAATAGACATTTCTCCATAGAATATATATAAGTGGTTAATAAAGCACATGAAAAGATGCTCAACATCATTAGGGAAATGCAAATCAAATCCACAATGAGATACCACTTCACATCCAACAGGAAGATTTTAAAACACACACACCCCTCACAAAAAATAACAAATATTGGGCCGGCCCTGTGGCGCACTCAGGAGAGTGCAGCGCTGGGAGTGCAGCAGCGCTCCCTCCACGGGTTTGGATCCTACATACGGATGGCCAGTGCGCTCAAGCGCGGTGCGGGCGACACCAAGCCAAGGGTTGCAATCCCCCTACTGGTCACAAAAAAAATAAAAATAAAAAATAAAATAAAATAAAAAATAACAAATATTGATGAAAATGTAGAGAAACTGGAACCCTCATAAACTGCTGGTGGGAATGGAAATGGTGTGGCATTGTGCAAAACAGTTTGGCAGCTCCTCAGAAAGATCACACAGAATTACCATATATCCCAGAAACCCTACTCCCAGGTATATATGCAAAATCTTACAAATAGGAACTCAAACAGATACTTCTACACCAATATTCATTGTAGCATTTTTCACAATAGCCAAAAGGTAGAAAGAACTTAAGTGTTTATCAACCCAGGTGAAAAGATATACAATATGTGTGTGTGTGTGTGTGATATATACATACAATGGAATATTATTCTACTATTAAAAAAATGAAGTCCTGAAACATGCTACAAGATGGATGAACTTTGAAAACATTATGTTGAGTGAAAAACCAGTCACGAAAGAGCACATACTATATAATTCTATTTATATAAAATGTGCAGAATAGGCAAATCTATAGAGACAGAAAGTAAATTAGTAAATTAGGGCTGGGGTAATTGGGAGTAAATAGCTAAGTAATAAAGAGTTTCTTTTTAAGGGTATAAATATGTTCTAACATTGATGGTGGTGATGACTGCACAACTTTTTTAATACACTAATATATTACCTTCAAATATTTACTGTGAATAAGTCACAAAAATAAGCTCAATCAACTGTATTAATAAATTCTGACTGAGTGCCTATTAGGTACTAGGATTTAAGACTAAATAGGATAAGATTTCTGCCCTTTTCTCAGAGGGAGACACAATACTAAATTAACAGATGAGAAACATGTCAGTTCAAAAATTAAAAACTGATGAACAAGAAAATATCTGCTTTCTGTTACCTAAAGGGAAGGATTATTCTCAGGAAGTGATGTTTAAGTGGAGATTCTCAGTGCCAAGGATCCACTTATACAAAGATAAGAGGGAAGAAGACTGCAGGTAGAGGAAGAGCAGGTGCAATGATGAGAACAGGTGGTGGTCATACACTGGTCATAAACTGCTTCTCTAACTCCCGCCTTGTCACTAAGTATTCCAAATCACAGTGCAGAACAGTGGTATCTACCTTCACGTCACCACAGAACTATAACATGTAGAAATGAAAAAGCTAAGAGAGTACAATTCTAATAAGTGGATTACACACTACCTGTTAAATAACATATGCTGCTCTTGTAAATGACTTTCAAACGTTTTATTGCCTAGTGATTAGCTTCATATTTGCATGTTAGTTTTTCTGTTTGTGCTATGCAGGGATTCTGCCATGGCTCTAATTATAATATCATTATCCAGAAAGGTGCACACTGATTCTAACACAGTTGAGACACAGGTAGCCAAATGGCAGTTTCAGAGTATAATACTATACAGTTCTGCAAATAAATTACATACAGCACGTTTCTTTGGGAGCAGACAAAAACAACAAACAAAACAACCAACACATTTTTTTTTTCAACGAGCTTACTGTGGCCTTGAGGCTTCAGCTTGGTCTGTCTGCAGTTTTTCTCCCCCTTCCACTTCCATTGTACAGTAAACAATTCGATTCGGAGCAACTGACTTCAAACCTTGCACTTCCATTATAACAATCTGAAGATAAAACAATTTTAAAATAATACATCAAGTTGATAGCATTCAGCAAAATACAGAAATAGCAGCATGAACAGCAATGAAGAAGACCAATTGATAAAATTGAAAAAACAAAGTTTTGTTACATGGTAACATCACTGCTATTTTATCTTCTTTATAATCCACCTCTACTCATAGATAAGGGGGAAGTCAAATCTTATGAAGAAATAAGAAATATCTTAATGAAGAATTATTTCCTGAGGCCGGCCTGGTGGCGCACTGCTACAGTGCGCCGCTTGGGAGTGCGGTGGCGCTCCCGCCGAGGGTTCGGATCCCACATACAGACCAGTTCCCGCTCACTGGCTGAGCGAGGTGCGGGAGCAACACCGAGGGTTGCGATCCCGTGGCCGGTCCCGGTCCGGGCGCAACACTGAGGGTTGTGATCCGTTGCCGGACATGAAAAAAGACAAAAAGGAAAAAAAAAAAAAAGAATTATTTCCTGCCAGCTATTAAACAAAAGTAAGGTTAAAGACCCTAAATATAAGCACTGTGAATTAAATAAAACTTAAACTCAGATCCATAACACATTAAGGCAATTCTGCACTAAGTAAAACAGAATTGCAAATATAAATTCAGTAAAGATGATAACAGGAGTACATGTTGAGTTCCATATAAAGTAATATAGTATTTATTACTGGTATACATTGTCATCATCATACCAATTCACTGATATCAATATGTGATATCAGAAATTTTCTATATTCACTTATTTAATATGACTATTACTATTTATAAACGGATTTTGGTTTTGGTCACTGTATACCTTATCTTCAAAATAATATAGAAAGCATAATTTGCCACTGAACACTTTAATACCAACTTGGTGAAAAATAATTTTTCTATCCATTAAAGGCATGCACTAATTTAATGGAGTACACTAGGAAAGGGTGAAAAAACTGATCTTCCTTACATATCTTTAACTCCTAAGAGAAAAGGAAACAGATGTGTTTTTTTCAAGTGTGCTTTTTACGTTTGTTTAAAAGGTTGCCAATTTTAAAATATTGTAACCTAACATTCTTATTGAATGTATAAATAAAATATGCATATTACTTGCTGTGATTTTTTTCAAAGTTTGCATGATGAACTTTTCTAAATTCTCAAAATTTATAATATAAGATTAAAAGGCATTTTTGTGTATGTATATTAATTTCTTTATTGATATAATATTGTATTTGTACAAATAAGAATAATAGCATTTATGTCATGTAGCTATCAAAATTTTCAAAGTATCTACCAAAACACCAATCGATCACTTAACTCCTTATTAAAGTCATCACATTTTTCACAGAGTTGTGATATGAATCTTGATTCAAAAGGTATCAAAGAAACAAACCACCTTAAAGGAACTGTTCTTCCTTTCAGCTCTGGTACAAGAGAAGAGTTAACGTTTGTAAATACAAATGCATATTTTGTTTTTGTTTTATTTATTTTTCATAAAACATAGGGGAAACTGGTCACCCAATTATTTAATGAGAAATAAAAGGTCAAACTCAGAATAGGGTTCCTTCTTTAACCAGGGCTTTTATCATTTTGTCACACTGAAATGAATGCCAACATATGAATAAAAATGAGGACTTAACTGAAAACAGACTAAGAATTAACAGAATTGGTAGATAATAGTAACGTCTTTCACAGCTGCTCTAATACTCAGGGAAATTAGGGAGAAGTACTAAATCCCGACTAAGGAAAATAAGCAAAAGAAGTTATGCATTTTTAATGACTAAAGCTTGTTAGCAATATTAAAATTAGTTAGATCCTTATACAAATAAAACTAACCAGAAGCTGACACAAATGAAATATATAACCATATCAATTAAAAGCCAGCTACATTTGGACTTACTTACCACCATGACTCCAACGACTTCTTAATTTAATGATAATTTTTTTACTGAAACATAATTGATTATACATATTTATGGTGTACAGAGTTGAATATCAATATGTACAATATGTGATGATCAAATCAGGATAATTAGCATATTCATCATTACAAAACACAATCATTCTTGTGGTAATCACTTAAAACATATAAAACAACAGAATCGTGTACCACAGATAAATCTAGAAATCTTAAGAGCAATGGTTCATATTTCATAATATTATTGTTTATACTATACCTCTTTCTGCAGTATACTTAAGAGCCAAAGTGCAAGAAAGAAGAAATGAAGGGTCTACTTAATAATATTTCTGTCACCTCCATTAAAAGCTACTATAAACAGGACCTCCTAAAACATACAACTTGAGAAACAGCATTCTTTTCCTCAAAACAATACTCCCTACTGTGCTGGGAATGTCTTATCCTACAGAATTGCCACTTTCCAAAGATGTAACTTCTGTGATGAATCTATACATGTTAATGAAACAACACAATTCTAGAAACACGATTTCCAAAAGGAAAATAAAACATAGCTAGTCTCAATCACTAGTGATAAAGACAGCCAAGAATTCCACGGACCATCAACTAACCCAATTTTAGGTAACCGTTTCAACCAATTTCCAGCAAAACTTGATAATGGAACTACAGAAAATAAAATTGATCCATATTTCATCTTTTCTTCCCCAATCTCTCTGTGGCTGATACAACAAAGATAAAATAGACAAAGTTGTCCTACAAGCAAAAAGGGAAGCATGGACAGAATATGAAACTAGATAACATGCTTCTGTGCAATATATTGACCACAGAGTTATGTGACACTTAAGCATGTGTAGTTTGTGAGAAAATGATGCTGAGCAATATGGTGAAATTGAGGAGCATATATGACCACATACAGAGAAAGTTACAGAGTCTGCTAGTCAAATATCAATGAAGAAACTAAGTGTGAAAAATCAAATAAATATATTAATGCCACTGACACCATTCCCCATACAACTTACAAACTCATAATTCATAGATGAACATCTGTTTTTCTAGTCTTACTTAAATATTTAACATATCATTGTGGTGTTCTGTGGATTACTTTATCTCTTGCTTTATTTTTCCTTCTGAAGGTTTCATGAATGGAGACACCCAAAAGAAATCCTGCATGGCTAACTGCTGCTTTTTGATACATGAAAAGGGGGCAAAAACTAAGCTTGGTAAGGGAACACCAAGTGTGGTGGGAGAAGGAGAGAGGATGGGTAGCAGTTTTAAAAAGAGGATGAAATTTGAGCAGCATTTTTCAAATCTGCACTTCATTCCTTCTCCACTGGACCAATTCTAAGCCTGACTAATGAAATGTGAGAGCTTTAAATTGAATTAACTGCTTGCCTCTCAGAGTTTTCTGCAGCTAAAATCTGGGGTCTAAGGACCTAGGCTTGCTTAATGGCCTAGGAATAATTATTCAGCTTAGCTTGGCTGATGTCACAGGGCCTGTGGCTAGAGGGTACCTAGTCTATTCCCTCAGGTGTCCTACAAATATGCACCTGGTAGCTGTCACTTAATGTGATTTCATTTTGTTTCTGGACATATAACTCCTACTTAAAATACTGTGGGTACCGAAGAACAGATTTTTATTATGCTGTGGTAGGAAAACATCAGCCTTGTGATAGACATAGCAATAGAAGACGTCAAAACAATTTTAAAAATATGCAAACTTCTCAGACCATGCAAAAGAAAGTTTTAGCTCGTATACCTAACATTATATTGCTAACTGAACAGCCTTCTTTAACATATTGGCAGTAAAGCACAGAATAACAATTCATAGTTTTATTTAAACACTGACTCATCAGCCTAATTTTGTTTTCAAAAGAAAAAATAGAATTCATAAGAAGTTTATTATGTAAAATTGTTTAAGATTTTTGAAAAATAGAGAAAAAAGAAAATGTTCTGAACTGTTTTGAGTGCTGAATGTTTAAATATGGTAGATGCATACATCATAAAAATTATATGCTCTACAAATTATTTTTTCCATCAATGAATTTAAATGCCAAACTCTTGTTAGAAAAAGATATTCTATAATTAAATGATTGATTTTGTTTTGTACAAAACCTTAAAAAAAAAGAAAAAGAAGAAAAAAGAGTTGGCCCATTTTATTTCGGTAAGCAGGGGATCTGAGGAAGGAATGATGAGAAAATTCCACGTGCAATATACTATGTAGCTTCAAATTAAACATCTTTATGTTATGAGGCTGAAGAGATAGAGAAGAAACCCAGTAGCAAAGCCATTTGGCAAAGTCATTAGGTAAGCCCCAAACTGAGCCTTGAGTAAGAAGAAAGCCAAATATTTCTACTCTGACGCTGTTTAATCTATTAACCTACGAAGAAATCATTAGCTTGGAAGTTAAGAAAGTGAGAGGCAATTGACTTATCCTCAAGCACTGACTTTATCTTAGAATTAAATAAATGGAGAAAAAAGGAAACTAGACATCTGCGATTTTTTTTTGTAGTTGTTTTTTGCCATAAACTAAGTCCGTCAAGCATCAACAAAGAAATTTCAAACTGTACCTAAGACTGTACATGCTTTTCTCTGCCAATCAGCAAACGCAAACAGCAGTGCTGGAAACTAGCAGAACAATATAAGGAAGGAGTTACAAGCTTCAATATAGGTTTTGGGAGAGCTATAAACTTAAGCTTCACAGTGCTACTATTTACTTATAGAACAAAAATTATAGAGGGAAAAAAGCTGGAGCTTAAGCCTAAGAATGACTTTACAGTCCTCATTTTATGATATAATCTTTAATCCTGTGCTTCGCATACATTCTTTCTTCTGGAAATTAAAGATGTTTGTGGTGTGTGTGGAGGTGTATAAGACCTCCTGGAAATTAAAGATGTTTGTGATATGTGTGGAAGTGTATAGACATAGATACCTAGATTAGCCCACATACATAGATTAGCAATAAAGAAATGTAATCATGAAAAACATCAACAGGTAGCTGTATTAAGAGTATCAAGTATCTTTGGTTTCCAGTGATTTGTATAAAAAGAATGAAACACTGAAGTTTTGGGGAATAAAATTTTAAATGCATGACATTTGTTTTTCTTTGTAATATTTACTGTGCCTATTATGAAGATGTAAGTTCTGGAAAGGAAGAATTTTCTCCTTATCATCTACAGTACCCAATATTGTGCATTATACCCAGTTTATTTCATTTGATTCTAGAAAGATAATCCCCTTGGTGAAGCAGATTAAAAACAAGGTTAACCAAAAGCCTCGAAGGAGTTTTCAAATTACAGAGAATTCAATTAGATGTTTAAATCTTATTTCCACCCAAGTGCGTTTTGATGCTTATGTTATCAATGAAATTACACTAGCCTAACTGGCATAAAGAAGACTTGCCTCAAAACTTTTATTATTTCATTATTTAATCCTAATACTGCTGTTATGTTCAAAGGAAAATTTGCATACATTTGCATATACAACCCGATTGACCAACAAAGAATAATTTGGCATCTTCAAAATATATTACCCTGCTTTAAATTCTACAAGTTACCACAAAGGTCAGCAGAAATTCATTTATGCCGTCAGAGGTGAGCATGAGCTAAAGCGACTTACCTCCAAAGTGAATGACAACACCACGTCAGACTTTGATAGCTGAATCTCATTCTCATCTCCTATGTCCAAAAATGCAGAATTCTGTGAACGTTTTAATTTTTGTAATTTAAATTCTGGACCACCTTTTGAAACTGGAAGACTTTCCAAATTGGCCATTAGCAAATTCACTGAAGACCGCAACTCTTCTATGTACATATTCTCCATTTCTTTTGTTATAAATTTGGGGAATTTTCTTTCCTTGAAAATAATTTTAAAAATAATAATGTAATACAAGTCATATTTTAATTTCATTACAAAATATTATATGATGCAAACATCCCACTGTCTAGAAATTATGACACAATTAACATATTTATCCTGCTTTTGTCTCCAGGCTGTAAAAGCTTCAGGCTCTGGCAGTTTTCATTATGTTTAAAGATACCTTATGTATCTTACTGAGGATCATGGTGGTACAAAATGAATAACATTATATATATTTTCACATTAGCTTTATTTCTGACAAGATTTGCTTAATGGAAAAGTGAACTCTGAAAACATGCACGTAAGATATTTTAGTGTACAGATGAACCCTAATTAGTCACTGTTAACTTTGAAATGCTTGGGGAACTGGGCTATAAGAACATGTTCAGGATATACTGATTGTGAGTTAGGAAACAAACATTTTAACAATATCTCTCTTTCTTAGCACCGATGTGCATTGTTGGGAGGGTATGCTTTTTATACATAAGCATTCACATTAAAAAAACCCATATTACTGAATAATAACATGGTCAAATTAGTAATTTTCACATCACACAAATGTGCCCAGATCCCTTATGGCCATAAATCCAGTTTTTTACTAAAGGTTTAGAATAATTTGTTTTCAAGCAAATGGCCAATTTATGATAAAAGCTGTTAAGTGAAAAAGAAAGTAACAATCTCAGTTTGGAAGGTTCTATTTTCTTTCTGAATCACATGAGCATTGCCTTTCAATTCTTGTATCTCTGCAATCTATTTTTGTTTCTTTCATTCTGTTAAAAGGACGTTCCAAATATTGATATTTAGATAGATAGTACCAAATTGTCCTTAGAGAAGACTGTACAAATTCATATTCTCACAAACAGCAAGTTAGAGCACATTCCTCCTCATACTCTTGGCTGCTCTTTAATCTTTGCCAATCTCTCTTACAGACAGAGGGTATATATGCTTAGCTTTACCACATCAAGCCTGGCATCACATGACCCACACCATACATAACTGGCCAGGTAGATGACAGCTTAAAGCAGCCGTCTTTCAAATGCCTGCCTAATGCTCCAGAAAATCACCACCGTTACTGTTGTTTCCTTTGGCATCATTCAAAACCTAACCTAAGAAATCCACATCTCGGGTATGACTGGAACACGTCCACACTGCTCTTGTCAACCTGTACCTAGTCTCTGCCTCGCTTGTACCAGTTCATTCATGGGATGAGAAGGAACAGCTGGCACCCTTCACCAATGAGTCCCAGAGTCTCAGGCCAGCAGTTTTTCTCCCTCCTCCCAATAAACTTCACATACTTCTTTTAAAAATAATTCACATATAATCAACATTAAAATTGCATATTTATTGTGACAGAGAGATTAAACATCCACATTAAAAATTAACTTTCCCAAAGAAGATTCTTAAGTATCCTTTTTTAACACTTTTATATAGTTTGAAGCAACATTCCAAAATAGTAAATTTGCATCCTTAGGAAAAATACATAACTATCCTTGGATTCCTTTGGGCGAAAAAATATTGTTTGTAATGATTTTTTTTTCCCAACATAAGCAAAGGGGCGGGGGAGGAAAATAAGCCATAAAAATATACTTTTACATTTTTGGACTCACTTTAAAAGCTGTCAGAAAACATCCAAAACCCAGAAATAAGGCAAAAAATTGACAGGGCAGGTCCTTTCAATGCCATATGGGGTGAAGGTAATACAATGATCATGTACAGAAATGCACTTATTTCAGCTTACTGTTCACATTGAGTAAAGGCTCCAGACAGTAAAGTTGCATGTTACCTTTCAGAATTTTGTTTAGAAAAGATACACATAATGGTGAGTAAAATAATTTAGTGGTTATAGTGTAAATCTGTGTTGGAAATTAACCATTTTAGGATCCAACCATGAATCTCATCTTAACAATGCCCCCAAACACCTAGTTTTTCAAATGCTGTTTGGACTGGTTTCAACATCTAACTGGTTTGTTCATTAATTACGCATTGAATGAAATAGTTAATGTGTTCATTTTTTATTTGTACAAAAGCCATAATTCTGCCTTTTAAAAAAGCAAAAGGAAAATATATCATGTGTTGAAAATTCTGATGCACCATTTTATTTTAAAACTTCCAAGGTGTTACTTTATAGAAAACCTAGCATTAGCACTTAAAAAAAAAATAACCTACTTCTATTTAGATTTAGTTAAAAACACTTCATTCACTATCATCTGCCAAAGAGGGGAATGGCAGGCATAACCAAAACTGTTTTATCAATATTTTCAGACTTTTCAGGGAATAAAACCATACTAGACAGAATAAATTTTTTTACTTGAAGAAATCTCACAACTCTGTTTTAAAGCTTTCAGGTTTATTGATAGTATATCATCAATTTACTTAACCTACTTGTGTGGCCTTTTACTTGGAAACAACCAATTGTACAAGTATACATGTTAAATCTGATCTTTTAAATTAGAATTGAATCAGGTTTTTTCTAGCTGTTTAACTGTGAGTAACTCTTATAAAGCATATACTAATAGTTTACATGTTCTAATTTAGTCTTCTGATCAGCATAGCTCACTGGCAATCCTAATACATAATATACATGAAAACAACAATTTCAGGATCGTGGCATCCAGTAAACTACTTACTATTGTAACACTGGTCCCAATCACAACTAACATACTAAGGTGTTTCAATTTTTTGTTATAAATTGGAGCAGATTCACAGTTATTCTTCAAATATTCATAACCTCTCTCGCTTTGAATTCGAGCAGGCCCTTGAGTGGAAGGGAAAGGAGGGAGTCCTAGAAATAATTCAGGAATTCTGTAGGGCCTGCGCTGTCTCATGACAATATGCCAACATGTGAAGATTCAGTCATGGAAAGACATTCACTGACTGCTATATGCTCTGCTCAAGGCCCCTGGGATATAACCATGAAGTTAAAGGACAAACACCCTGTGCTATCATGGAGCCTATATTTTACTGTAAAGAGATTGATATAATAAATAAAAAAATCGTTTCATATGGTAGAAAGTGGTAAGTGCTATGGAGAAAAAGTCTGAATAGTGACACGGAGTGAGTGGTAGAAAGGGGCTGAGACTTGAAAGAGAATGGCCAGAGAAGATCTTAATGGGGAGATGATGACCTTTGAGCATTAAAGTACATGAGGGAGTATGACAATTCTGTGTGTCAGTTTGGCTAGGTTATGATGCCTGGTTGTTTGGTCAAACTCCAATCAATGTTGCTGGGAAGATATTTTTTTAGACGTGATTAACATTTACAATCAGTAGACTCAGTAAATCAGATTGCCGTCCGATATGTGGGTGGGCCTCATTCAATCAGCTGAAGGGCTTACAAGCAAAGCCAAATTTCCCGAAGAAGCAGCAATTCTGACTCAACATTGCAATACAGAAGCCCAGCCTGAGCTTCCTGACTGCTGGCCTGCCCTGCAGATTTTGGACTCAAGACTGCAATACCAACACTTACCTGAATTTCCAGTCTGCCAGCTTGCCCTGTGGATTTTGGACTTGACAATTCCCACAAGCTCATTAGCCAATTTCTTGAAATCAATCAGTTAGTCACTCTCTCTCTCTCTGTATATATGTAGAGTGTATATATATATATATATACACACACACACACACACACACACACACACATGCATACATACATATATATATTATATATAAAATATCTATTTCATAATATTATATCTACCTATTCGTTGTATCTATATATCTATCTCATGTCCTACTGGTTCTGTTTCTCTGGAGATCATGACTGAAATGGAGAACAAGCCATGCGAACGTCAGTGGAAGATTGCTGCAGGCAAGAGGAGGAGTCAGGGCAAAGACACTGTGGCAGGAAGAGCAAGGAGGCTTCCGTAGCTGAAGTGGATTCAGCAAGGTGAGAGCTTAGTGGACAGCGAGGTCAGAGGGGTGACAAAGAGCAGATCACACAGAACTTTGCAGGCCACTGTCTGAACTTGTTATTTCACTCTTAGCGACTTGAGAACCATCACAAGGTCATGTGCAGATGATCACTGACTGCTGTGTTCGTGGGGGCAGGGGTAAAAGCCAGAAGACTAGCTAAAAGAACAGAAAAAGTATCCAGGGGAAAGGCAATGATGACCGGACCAGAGCAGAAAGGAGAGGATGGTAGCTGTCAGATTCTGGAAACACTGTCAATGTAGATGCAAATGATTGCCTGATAAGTTTTGCATGAGGTATCAGAAAGAAGAAAGTAAAAGGTGATTCCAAGTTTTTTGGCTTGAGAAACTGGATAGTATTGCCAAGAACTGACCTACCCTGACCACTTTGCTAAAAGCTATAATCACAACCCTACCCATCCTGTATTCCTGATCTCACTTTCTCTGATCTATTTTCTTAGTAGCAATAATCTCCTTCCACAACTCAGTTACGTGGCACATTTATTGCCTGTTGCCGGGCTCTTCCAAATAAATTGTATGCTCCACCAGGGCATGGCAGGAATACTTCTGTCTTGTTTTATCCCAAGACAGTTACATTTGTCTAGATGTATTCCAAGTGCTTAAGACAGTGCCTGGCCATATTAGTAGGTGTTCAGTAAATATTTGTTCCATGAATTTACAGATAGGAAAATTGAGGCTCAAAAAGGTAAAACAACTTGCCCACTGTTAAAAATCTAAGAAATGGAAATCATGGCTCTGACCACAGGTCTTTCTACCCTGTCCACATTTTTACCACTACTTCCTAATTATCCCTTGGTTAAAAGATGAAAGCCAACATTTCCTTCTCTTGAAAGACATTTCTGCCCTGTGGTTTTATTGTTATTATATTGTGTTCTTTATTGCCAACTATTAACTTTTAACAAACCACACTTCAGGATATCAGACTGAAGAGGCAGCGGGGTGGGAGAGAGCAAGCCCAGGCTCTGGAGTCAAATGCCAGGGTGGGAGGCCCGACACAGCCATGTGCTTGTTAAAGAATCATGATGTTAGCAAACTTCCCTAAGCCTTGGTCTCCTTATCTATAAAATTAAATTCATGATATCATCTGCCCTTGTGGCTTCAAAGATTACTCTAGGAATATAATGCAACGAGGTCAGTACATTGTAATTAGCCCTATAAATATTTTATTAAGATGGCTTCAATCTGGTGAAATTGAAGTGGAAAGCAATTAAGCCTGCTCAACCTGCTATATCAATATTTTCACTGAAAGGTATCCTTTTTGGGGAGTTTGTTTTCTCTTTCTCCCTCCCCCAAACCCATCAGCTTCACTTTTCTCCACACTTCTTCCACTTTATCCACATTTCTGATGAAGCTAGTAGGGTCCCCTCCAGGAGAAGTCTTTGTGCGTTCAGCACTAACCCTTTCTTCTGACCCAGACCCAGGGGTTATTAACATACATTCTCCTCAGATGTGAACTTGAGAACACAGCTGAGGCTTTCCTTCCTGTCCTGTACCTCTCCAGAAAATTACATAAACTTTATTCCAAAGCATTGCATATTCAGCCAGGCCTTTGCAGGAGCAAGGTTAATTTACAACTATGTGTACAGCCTCAGGTACAATCTATAGACAAGTAGGCAAGTTCCAAATGCTGAGCACAGGTCTAGCGTCCTGCCCCACACCATCTGGTACATCTCTCTGGATCCTCCCTTAGTTTTAGGTCTTTAAGAAAAGAAAATGTCCTTCCAGTCAGGTTCAATACAGGCTACGCTTTCTGGTAAAGTATATTTCTCTTTAAAGCTTCCAATAGGCTCAAGCCACTTGTTGTCTATCCAATGATTTCCACATTTCAATCTCTAGAATGATTCAATGCCCCTTTAGAGATCCAGAGGACAGCAATAAGGTATGTTGTCCTTTCAACCATTGCCCTGCATGTGAGTAACCCTATAGTAGCCCCTAATTCATAGCATCCTTTACCTTCATTTACCTGGATATTCTTCCTCATATACCTCTGGCTTGGTTGTCACAACTTTCTGTCATCCCTTACTGTGGACTGGATGTCCCCGCAAACTTATCAAAGTTTGATTTCCACTGCGACAGTGTTAAGAGCATGGGAAATCCTATTATAGTCATTGAGAAGTGGAGCCTTGAAGAGGTGATTAGATTGTAAGGACCATGTCCTAGTAAATGGATTAACCCATTGATGGTTTAATGGTGATCATGGGTGTGGTTCTAATGGCTTTAAAAGAAGATCCAGTGAGGATCTCTTGCTTCTGCCTGAATCACTGAAGTCACTACCAAAGAAGGCCCTCACCAGATGTGTTCCCTGGACTATGATCTTCCCAGCCTCCTAAACTGTAAGCAATAAATACTGTTTCTTTACAAATTACCCAGTTTCAGGTATTTCTGTTATAAGCAACAGAAATGGACTAATACATCCCTATTACCCAACTTCTCTAAACTTTTCTCTATTTTTTTTCTACTGTTTTATTTAATAGGCATTTAGATAAACATAGTATTGGCATTCTTGAAGATATCATATATTCAGAAATATATATTTTCTTTCCAGAAGCACAAAAATTTAAGTGTTAAAATGAGTCTGGGATATATCTTCTCGAGTACTGGTAAGGTTTGCTATCTTGATTTGGGAGGTGGTTAACACAGGGTATATATACTCGTACATTCACTGAGCTGTAAACTAAAGATGTGTACATGTTTTATGAGAGACAGAGAGAGACAGACAGTCTATACACCCAATATTCAAAGTTTTTGCTTAGCAAAGGGAAAGGGAGAGAATCTTATGCTCAGAGCAGTCAACAGCACTGTAAACACAATTCTATCGGGAAGGACTAAAATTTTTATACCAATTAAGTCAATTAATCCATCAATTCACTAAAGAATGATTTAGACAATTAAGTTCCATTCTCTCCAAAAATCTTAAGTATTCAAAAAAAAAAAAACCTTCATGGGCTTTGTTTGCAATGTATCTCTGTTTCCAGAAATAGTGACTGCACAAATAAAATAACTACAATATTACACGGGACATGCTTTACCTGTCGACTCTGCACTAGATATTTCAAATTATATTTTTCACGCATTTAATAATTCAATCAAATATTAGTTGGCATCACTATGTACCAGGCACCATGCTACATACTTTGAATATATTATATGATTCCACAGGGAGATTTTTCTCCCTGATTATATTCTGCTTAGTGCAACATTAAAATTCTTCAAGATCTGCAGGTAAAGAAATTCTGGCATTGTTTTTGGAAAAATCTTTTAACAAAACTTATTAATGAACTTAAACATTTCACATGTTAAGAATGGATTCATAAAATGGATAATATGCTCCATTTAAATAATGTGCACTCAGATATTTGAGATTAAGAGGTATACATGTAGAAGAGAAAATGATAAAATCATGCTGGTTTTCTTTGTACAAAACACTCAGCTCACAGAAATGTAGGCAAAGAAGGAAATGTGGAAGAGCATGCCAAAGTTAATAATTTACCTTTGCCATTTTCTCTGCCAATTGCAGCCGACCATCAAGTTCCCTTCTGATCTGGGCTGCTTGTTCATCTGCATTATCCAGCTTAAAAATAAAACAGAAATTACACGTATATGATAAGTTAATGCAAGCGACCTATTGAGTAAAGCAAAGATTAAATGACTCAAAAATGTTTTTTTTTTTTGTCTTTTGTCTTTTTCCGTGTCCGGCAACGGGATCGCAACCCTTGGTGTTGCTCCCGCACCTCGCTCAGCCAGTGAGCGGGAACCGGTCTGTACGTGGGATCCGAACCCTCGGGCGGGAGCGCTGCCGCGCTTTCCAAGCGGCGCACTATCCAGTGCGCCACCGGCCCGGCCCTCAAAAATGTTTAATAAATTCTCTCAGCTACCTATTGAGAAGAGATTACAGAAGTCTGTTTTATTAGATTGGGTCCAGTAGCTTATAGGTTGGTTTACCAAAAAATCTAATTCTTGTGCCCAACTTGTCCACAAAACTCTGAACCAAGAAATCCTTGTTTCCTTGAGATTATATTAAATTGCCATTAAGTTCATTCAGTCCATCCTTTTCTCTTCATGAAGGTCAGTCCTAAACAGTTCCAGATGAATGATTCTCTTTTTTGTGTTCTTTTAAATTCCTATTATGCATTTCTGAACGATGAGATACTCAGTAATGTTTCACTTCTCTCTTTGTACTTTTAGAAAATATTCCCTTCATTTTAATAAGTTTGGATTAGTGCTAAACTATAAAAGTACTCTTTGGTTGATATAACTTCCTACCATATACTTCATATACTCCTCATTCTAGTAACAACAGACTCATAAAACCAAGAAATCCTTCCACACCTGTAGAGATTGGCAGCACATTAGAATTCTATTCGTTTGTTCTAAATTTGAATGAAAGCAAGCAAAGCATAAGAACTCCCCATTTATGTAGAAAATTATTTTCACTTCTCCAATAAAATAAACCTTAACTTTTCTATAATTTCCTTTAATTTTCCTCATGATTTCTTTTTCCCAAATTATTAATTCGATCTTCCTTTATTAGTTTGTTATTAAAAAGTGTTAAATTGAGGGTGTGTTAAATTTCTCTTGACTTTGATACCTTCCCCTTTCCCACTCCCATTGTTAAGAGGCAGTGAGAGAAGGGGCTGGAGAGAGAGGCAGAGCTACTTCAAAAGCTACTCTTCAGGGCCCGCCCCGTGGCGCACTCGGGAGAGTGCGGTGCTGGGTGTGCAACAGCTCTCCCGCGGTGGGTTTGGAGCCTATATAGGGATGGCCGGTGCGCTCACTGGCTGAGCACGGTGCAGCCGGTCACAAAAAAGACAAAAAAAAAGGTACTCTTCACAAACAGCAGACATTAGGGAGCTTTAGTTCTTACCTCAATGAGACTTCAGTGGGAGGCTTTAGGGAAGGTATAGTCTCAGATCTAAGCTTTGGGAAGAAAAGATCTCTCTGTCTCCAGCAGAAACAACAGGTCAGAAGGACACAAAAAGGCCTGCTGTTTTCGGGGGGGTTTTTTCTTCTATATATAAAGAAAAAAAAAGGCCTGGGATTACCTTTATAAAAAATGTTCCCAAGTGGATAAAAAAAATCAAATTCATTTTGAAACAAGTTTAAAAAATAGACAAGATTTTCTTAAAATAAATCCTTGTTGTAAAGGAATTTTGATCCCATCTCAAAAATTAATGTACTTTTATTTTAATTAATATGATTCAAAATCAAACAGAAACTTGTTTCTCTTCACTGTGTCTAAAACCAAAGTGGTTTAAAAACTACTATAATTATGAAGGAAAAGAATATAAGTACCTGTTGCAGAAACTGAAATCTCTCATTACAAGCTCCTAAAAACAAAAATGCTGTATAAGAATACTGTAACTACAATAATACCTCAAATAAATGTAATAGAAATATCTTCTGATCTTTGCTTAAATGCTGACAAGTATTTATTTTTTCCACAGAATAAAAAAATTACTTCATTTAAAGGGGTTATAATTCCTCTCCCAGCTCCATCAAAAAAAAAATAGTATTTTAAATCCCCAAACAAAAGGCCATAGCACTTCTTCAAACTTCACCAAAAACCCTTATTTAACATCTTTAAATATTTATGTCTTCAGATTAACAGTTCTTACTTAATTTTAAATGGAACTGTTTGAGTCATGTCTGGGTTTTGTCAGTGTTTTCTTTATAAGAGATAGTTTTCTACTACTTTTTAAAATATTAATGCCTTAACTGCATTTGTCTGAAAAAATGTAGGCAAAGAAAAGTACAGCATTGCTGTACTAAACTGTCTTTTAATATTCTTCCCTTCATAAACCTACATTTTCAGAGATCAAAAAGGTACTAACTTTAATGACTTACTGGTGTCATTTTGTGAAACTAAAAGAGCATACTTCCAAACATGTTTCAGAAAAAAAAGGGAAAGCTAATTTAATACAGACAACGAATAAAAATTTAATTGTGTATTTTTGTTTTATGTAATGCTAGACAGAATTGAAGAGAATAAATCTTTTGGTTATTTTTTTAACGTGTAAAAACATTAATTTAACATCTTATTTTGTTTTCTTTCAAGTTTTGAGTATTTATTCCTTTTTAAAATGTAATTTACTTAACTGAAAGTTTGTATTATTTAATTTTCATGAACATTTTCTCAAAGGTAGACTTTTTCAATTGAGATAACTGTAGGCTCATGTGCAGTTGTAAGAATTAGAGAGATGTCCATCGTATACACTTCCCAGTTTTTCCCAATGGTACTATCTTACAAATCTATAGTTTCATACCACAACCAAGACACTGACATTGATAACCACCCATCTCACTCAGATTTCTGCAGTCTTATGTATACTCATTTGTGTGTGTGTGTGTACTAAGTTCTATACAAGGGATTACCTATATAGGTTTGTGTATCCATCACCTTAGTCAAGACACTTAACAGTTCTATACCACAATGTTCCCTCATGGTACCTTTTTATAACCACAGGTAACTATCTCCAGACAATCCCCACTTGTTTAGTCTTAATAATGATGTGCCTAATTTTACACAATGTTTAAAAATAAATTCTACAAAGGCAAAATAGGAGATTTTCCTTATTTTCCATTATGAACTGGAGATGTGTTCCCATGAACAGTTAACAAGGAAATGTGTTCCCATGAACAGTTAACAACAGTAAATATTGGAAAGCTTCAGGTATGGGGCTTCCAAACTCCTTTCAATCTTGAACATTCACCGCCTGGGTGCTCTGCTCAAAGCCCATGGCTATAAACAGCATCTACTCACTGATAACTTCTAAGTGGATGTGTACAGCTTCAACCTCTTGCAGGAGTTTCAAACGGCCTACTTGCCATTTCAACTTGCATAAGAAAAAGCACATTGAGCCCAGAATAAAATCATGATTCTTTTGCTCCCTACACCGATCACTCATGCGTAAATGTCATGTCATAAATGGTACCCCTTTCTACCCAGTTACTCAATCCCCAGACCTAGGTGTCATCTTTGACTTCTGTCTTTCCATCACAGTCTATATCCAATCCACCTAGAGTCATGTACAGTAAACCTAGAACCACACAGGTGAGGCTTAAGCAGGCCACAATTCAGGTACTGTGAGTCCTTGGCAAGATCGCTTTCTACGTGTGTGTGTGTGTGTGTGTGTGTGTGTGTGTGTGTGTGTGTGTGTGTGTGTGTGTGGAGTGTTTCTCTAGTCACTTCAGGGACATATCATTTTGCCAGCTGCAGATACTGTTATAGTAAAAATAATTTTCTTTTCTGAACCCTCTATAGAACTTAAATAAGTGGTTTTGCATACATGCTCAAAAAAAATAATAAAGAGGGGGATGGTGAAGAAAAATAATAAAGAAAAGCCTGAATGGATTATAGAAGAGGGGCATTAGACTTAAAATGCTATTGACACACCAGTTCCTAGTGCTGGATTTCGGCTGCAAAATAAATAAAATGAGGATGTGTGGACTCTGGGAACCACAGTAGGAGTCAGAGGTGAGTTCTCACTCCACCAGGAAAACTTCATGTTTTAACCACATTTTATTTTACTTTTAATTCCTGATTTCAACATTTTATGTGACAGTAGATTACTTCACAGCCTGGCACAGAATATTTTACTGGTCTTTTAAAGAAGGTCACTCAACCCTGACCATAACAGACACCAAAACATATCTTTATTCTTTGCAATACCTAGTTTCTATTACACAGAGCATATTACCACTTTAATTATCAAAATACTTCACTGGCTTTACAAATATTATATGGAAAATATACCTTTATTTTCTTTATGTTCATTACGCAGGGATTGCCGTTTCCTCATTCAACATTCTGTAGGCTAGGGAATTCTTAACTCAGACCTTTAAGAAACTGTGAACCTGCTCAAGTTGTGAGCAAAATTTTGCAGAGATATGCATTTTTTCCCTTGAAAAACTGAATTTCATTGCTTACTCAAGATTCTCAAAAGGGTGGTTAATTTCAAAGAGATAAAGAACCACAACTCTGGGAGAATCTTTTGTATGGAAGCCTCGACTCCTCATTCTAGGAGAGGCTGTACGGCTTTTGGAATATAAACCATAAAAATCAACCACATCATCAACCTTATGCTTACAGAGATTTGTTAAATTCTTTGTAAAGGAGCACCAAGACATAGGCTGTTAACAATGCTGACATGAATGATCCATGATCACTTTATTAACTCTGTTACTATTTTTCAACACTTATTGTACAGCAAGCTCTGCTGCAGGCACTGCAGTAGCTACAAAACCTGTGGCCCTCCAGGAGTTCATACTTTATTTTAAAAACAGTGAAAATAGTATGTCAAACAGGATACAACTGCCACAAGGAAGCTACTGACCAAGTATTGTGAGAATTCAGTGAGAAAAGAATGTTTTTCTTGGTTGGTGGTGTTGGGATGAATTTGCAAACATGAAAATATTAAAAACGGATTAGACAAAATGCCAATCTAATGTAGCATTTTATTTGTCTTGATTTACAAATCTCAAACCCTAGACTCTCCTTGCCAATCCCTCTCCTTTCATGGAAGCAGTTCTGGGAAAAGGGAACGTCCTGGAAATAAGCAAAACTCCTTTGCA